GAAGAAGGAAGGAAGGAAGGAAGGAAGGAAGGAAGGAAGGAAGGAAGGAAGGAAGGAAGGAAGGAAGGAAGAATAGAGTAGAGTAGAGTAGAGTAGAGTAGAGTAGAGTAGAGAAGAGAAGAAGGAAGGAAGGAAGGAAGAATAGAGTAGAATAGAGTAGAGTAGGGTAGAGAAGAGAAGAAGGAAGGAAGGAAGGAAGGAAGGAAGGAAGGAAGGAAGGAAGGAAGGAAGAATAGTGGAGAGTAGAGAAGAGTAGAAGACTCTCTTGAAGAGGAGGAAGGAAGGAAGGAAGAATAGAGTACAGTACAGTAGAGAAGAAGGAAGGAAGGAAGAATAGAGTAGAATAGAATAGAAAATAGAACAGAACATCTGGCCATCTGGTGATTAGACACAGAAGGAATTTGTCTCTGCTGCAGAAGCTCTCGGTGAACATGCAAAACGACAGAGTAACAATAACCGTAATAATGTTACCAATAGGAATAGGTAATAGGAAATGTGAGAAGGCTAATAGTAACATAGCCCTACTACATGGGTAAACACACTTAGACATAAGACAATGATGTGGGAATTTGGTGTTCAGCATTGCGATGGCATGAGGGAGACAACTGTCCCTGTGTCTAATTGTTTTGGTATGCAATATTCTGTAGCAGTGTCCCAAAGGGAGGAGTTGAAACCGTTTATGTCCAGGATGTGAAGGGTCTGTAGCAGTGGTGGGATTCAAATTTTTTTACTACCGGTTCTGTGGGCGTGTCTTGATGGGCATGGCAGAGGAAGGATACTGTAAAATCACCAGTCAGAGGTGGCATTGGCCGGTTCTCCGAACTACTCAAAATATCCACTACCGGTTCTCGAGAACTGGTCAGAACCTGCTGAGTACCACCTCTGGTCTGCAGATATTTTCTGAGACCTCCTTCCGATTCTGCGGTATACAGGTCCTCAGTGGATCGCAGGCTGCTTGCCAAAGCTTTGTCTGCAGCCCTAACTATCCATTGAAATCTTTGTCTGTCCTGTTTGGTTGCTGGATCAAACTAGAAAGTTATAGAGGTACAAATGACAGATGTAACAATTCCCCTTTATAACTCTGTAGTAAGCCATGTGAAGCTTGGTTAGTGTTGACCTCACTCGAATGGAGTTTTGTGTGGTATGGGCGTGGTTTCCAGAATAACAGACTATAAGAGCTGGAAGGGAGCTTGGAGATCATCTAGTCCAACAGTTCCGCCATAGCAGAAATCCCCAGCAACAATCCCCACCTTACAACATCCGTCCTATTTAGTCAGCTGTTTGCTCTTTGCACGGTGTACCCAGCAAAAGCCTACAATATATTACATTCCACAATATATTTGCAATGGGACATTGATTCACCTGTTAAATAAAACCATGGCATATTTAAAAATCTTGTACAGAACACATGTACTCCTCAACTTAGAACAGATCATTTCGTGACAATTGCACACATACTAAAAGAGATTTATAACTGACATTTACAACCAACACACGTCTTCTCCACTATCACATGATCCAAATTTGGACAATTGGCAACCAACACGTATTTACCAGTGTTGCAATGTCCGGCTCTCATAATCGCCATTTGCAACTTCCTCAGCTGGCTTCGGCAAGCCAAGTCAATGGGGTTCACTTAACAACTGTGGCAAGGAAGGTCGCAAAATCGAGCAAAACTCACTTAACAACTACGTCACCACATAGATCTGGGGTTCAATTGTGCTTGTAAGTTCAGCACTGCCTGCATTGCTTTGGTACAAGCCCCTTCCAACATTGTAGGGCTTCCTTCTTAGAAGTCATGATCTGAATTTTTCTATTAATCAATATTAGGACTGGAAGTTATATGGGGATAATTTCTACAAGATCATGCCGGAGGAGGAATAATAAAGACAGTTCAATCTTCATTTAGCCGATTGCGTTAAAGTCAACTCCCTGTAGACACACAAGGTTGATTGCACAGGATAAAAAAAAAACTCTTACCTTTGGCTCTTCTTCCACAACAAAGTCAAAACTTTGGATTTCCAACACAACCAGCAGCTGCAGCACCAGAAAAGAAGCAACAAGAAACTTCATTTTTCTTCCCCTTCCAGAGAATAGTAAAAATTTAATAAGTCCAGTTCCACACCATTCAGAACTGAGGGTGGATTTTTTCCCCCACTATAGATCCAAGTTCAAAGGATTATGAGGGGTGCTCGTGTGAGAAAAAGGCAAACCACAAATCCTCTTGGTTGTGTAGTGTTTTGCAGCCTCTTGAGCAAGTCTAACCTTGTTTGGGCAAAACGCAAATATTTGCCCAGCAATGCAGGTGGGGCCATGGGTCAGGGGCTGTGCAAAGGGCCAAGTCTCTTGATAATGGCTTCAGAATAACAAAATAACAGACTTGGAAGGTGCCTTGGAGGTCTTCTAGTCTAACCTCTTGTCCAGTAGAAGAACCTATCCCATTTCAGACAAATGGTGGCCCAACTTCCAGTGATGAAGTACCCGCAACATCTGCAGACCAGCTGTTCCACTGACTAATAGTTCTCACTGTCAGGAACATTTCTCCTGGGTTCTAGGTTGCTTCTCTCCAGGATTAGTTTCTATCCATTCCTTCTGCCTTCAGGTGCTTTGGAGAATAGCTTGACTCCCTCTTCTTTGGGGCAGCCCCTCAAATATTGGAAGACTGCTATCATGTCACCCCTAGTTTTTCTTAGGCTAGAGACCTACCCACAACTTTCCTGCCATCGTCCGTCATGTGTTTATCTTCCAGATCTGTAATCATCGTTGTTGCTCGTTGTTGCCAGCTTTTGTTGTCTCTGTTTTCAACTTGCACACACCGGATAGGCTGAGCTTCTCACCCCCCAGTTCTTCACCCCACTTGCTTTGCCCTATGTGGCTGGGCTGAAGGGCTTCAAAAGCCACGGGGAAAAAGAACTGGTGCAGTCGGAGAAGACGAGGCCACAAAGGGAGCAGTTCTGTGGATTAAAGAGAACCAGTATCTGACAAATACTGCAGACCCAGAACCAGAGGTGGTATTCAGCCGGTTCTGACCAGTTCTGGAGAACCAGTAGCAGAATTTTTGAGTAGTTCAGAGAACCAGCAAATCCCACCTCTGACTGGCTCCACCCTCATCTATTCTCTGCCTCCTGAGTCCCAGCTGATCGGCTCGGTCTTCTTTGGTTGCCCTGAACAGGAGAATGGAGCTGGAAAGCAGGTTAGTGGGGTGGGGAGGGAATGGGGATTTGGCAGTATCTTTCCCCTGCCATGCCCACCAAGCCACACTAAGCCCACCAAGCCACACCCACAGAACCGGTACTAAAAAAAAATTGAATCCCACCACCGCCCAGAATGGGGCAAAAGACGTTGGATTATAAGATGGGAAACCCACATCCTTGTCCCAGTTTAGCCAGAGGGGAATATGGAGCAATCCTTCCAACTTGGACCAAAAGCCGGGGTGATTTAGGGATGAAATTGTTGGGTTGAGAGCAGGGGAATTTAGATTTTACTCCACCCATGCGTAGGGGAAGGAGTGGCAAAGCCTGAGGGGGTGGAGTTAAAAGAGAGATCTGCCTAGAATCCTCACATTGTCACAAGTGGGCTAAGTCCAAGCTCCCTTGGATTCCATTGGCCCTTATCTAACTCCAAGCAGGTGCAAACTGTTAGTTGAGAAGATTCCTTTTTGCGATAAATCCATTATTTGGACCTTCAAGATGTGGGCGTGACCTTTCACATTTGGCCCCTTCGGGAGCCACTAGGCAAATATGCAACCAGGCACAAGTAGTCCTCGACTTACGACCACAATGGAGCTCAAATCCCTGTTGGTAAGAAAGACAGTTGTTAAAGTGGTTTGTGCCTCATTTTATGACCTTTCTTACCACCAATTTATTTCTTTTCTTACCAATTTATTCTTAAAAGAATAAATTCAATTGTTAAGTTAGTAACAGCTGCAAAGTGAATCTGATTTCTCAAATTCAACTCGGTCAAAAAGTTGCAAATGGTGATCGCATGAAACCGCCCCCCCCCCCCGAAATGGCAACTTGTCATACATATGAGTCAGTCGCCAAGCGTCAAATTTTGATCACATGACTATGCAATGGTCATAAGTGTCAAAAATGCTCATAAATCACTTTTTTCAATGATGTTGTAACTTCCTACAGTCATCGAATGAATGGTATTTCTTCTCTCAGCCCAGCTTTCTCACTGGGTGATAGGGGTTCTAGACTGTGAAAACTCCCTAGAAGTAAGGCAAGACGCTGAGCTTGTCCATTAAAAAGGTCAGCAGTTTGGCGGTTCGAATCCCTACGCCACGTAACAGAGTGCGCTCCTGTTCCTTGTCCTAACTCCTGCCAACCTAGCAGTTTGAAAGCTTGTAAAAAATGCAGCTCCCTAGAGCCAGAAATGACTAGCAAGGATGTGTGAGGGCAGCCTTTATTTTTACCTTTACCTTTAAGGCAAGATGTGAATTTAACAAATAAATCTATCACATTTGTTTTTCAATACATAGGAATCTGTCTGCTAAAGATCTCTTGGCTAGCCCAGCTTCTTCCAATGACTGGAGGTAAACTCTTCCCTATGACAGCAGGGTGTTGACTATTGTCCTGAGACTTGGTGATTGATTTTGCATTGTTTGCCTTAACATGGTTGAAACACGGTTTCTGGGGTCAAGGTCAACCTTGCTTGATGAGTCCCTGAAATTGAGTTTATGCCCCATATCATCTCCTAACTAACTCGAGGCATAGTTCAATGGGTGAAACTAACCAACAGATACCCTTAAATTCCTAGAACTACATAAACTCTGATTTCGAACCATGGTTTATGGCAAAAGCAGAACACTCCCAGGGTTACATTTTAGGCTACGGCAACATCCCCAGAAGGATAGCTGTGAAATTTTCATGCCAAGACTTTTATTCTTTTATGCAATATCAGAGGTTTTCAACTCAATGTATGGAATGTGAAGGATGTGTGTTTGTGTTTATTTTTATAGTCATAATGTACACCGAAGATGGCATTTAATTTCGTTGTACGAGGTGCAATGACAATAAAGTAAACTCAACTAAATTCAATGTGTGGAGATGTGATTTGTCACTTGAAATAAGTGGGTTCTTGTTTTGTGGCTTCCTATTGTGCAGAAATCCACCCCATTGTGAATTATTCAACAATGGTTCAACGAATGCCGTTCTTGCACTATAGTAATGGATGAATCCTCTTGGATCTGGGCTGGCTCTTCATGTATTTGGCACAAATGAAGCTGGTTCCCTCTGAAGGCACCTCAGTAAAGCACCTTCTTGTCAAATCTGCGTTTGGCCAACCTAGTTGGAATTTGAACTCTGCACGTGACCTCTTTCCGTGCAGTCGGGAAGTTGGACTTTGATGGAATGAAGCTTTTTTTTTAAAAAAAATTGCTAACTGGTTCTCTGCAGCTGAAGAGGGCCTCCAAAGGACACCCTCTAAGTATGCAGTGGTTTAAAGCTAGGGCAGATAGCTTCTCTCACAGTAGTGCAAGCCAAGGAGAAACTGGGTTACTATAGAAGCTGGAGAAAATTGGCAAGGCAGGGCTAAATTTATAGAATAACAGAGTTGGAAGGGACCTTGGAGGTCTTCTAGTCCAACCCCCTGCCTAGGCAGGAAACCCTACACCACTTCAGACAAATGGTTATCCAACATCTTTTTAAAAACTTCCAGTATTGGAGTATTCACAATTTCTGGAGGCGAGCGCTGGTTAATTGTTCTCATAGTCAGAAATTTTCTCCTTAGTTCTAGATTGCCTCTCTCCTTGAGTAGTTTCCATCCGTTGCTTCTTGTCCTGCCCTCAGGTGCTTTGGAGAATAGCTTGACTCCCTCTTCTTTGGGGCAGCCCCTCAGATATTGGAGTACTGCTATCATGTCTCCCCTACTCCTTCTGTTCATTAAATTAGACCTACCCAGTTCCAGCAACAGGTCTTCATATTTTTTAGGCTCCAGTCCCCTAATCATCTTGGTTGCTCTTCTCTGCACTCTTTCTAGAGTCTCAACATCAAATCTGATGCATCCCTGGGAGTGCTTGACTGAAGACACATACAGAGAGTTGTGTTAAAGCAGGATGGGCAACTACAGTATAGCAACTTTTTGACCTGTGGATTTTAACTCCCAACTTCAACAATTAACCAGTGGAACAAATTACCTTCATCACTGGAGGCTTTTAAGACAAGACTAGGTAGTCATTTATCCTAGAATTCCTGAGCCATCACTATGATCAAGTAAATAAACATTCTACAAGTGCATCAATTTAATTTTAGGAGGATAAGTATTGATAAATACAACCCATCCCAACCAAAAGCTCCTTTGGGTCCTCCATAATTTTTAAAAAGTGGGACACGCCTTCATTCGGGAATTATATTAAAGTAGCATTTCTTAAACGTCTGTGCAGATTCTCAGTCGTCCAGGCCTTGGTTGTCCAGTTGCCTCTTGAAAAAGCACCTTTGGGACAGCCTTTCTTAAACTTTCACTCTCAGCAAATCAGCCCTCCTGTTGACTGATGAGGAGACGGGCTTCAATCACTCCTCTGGCTGTTTTTGTGCCTGCTTGTCCTACAATCCTAGTAGCTGCAAAGTTGCATGTGTGTCCTATCTCATTGCATTGTGAGGCTACCAATGACTTTGGGTCTCCTCCAGGGGTGGGATTCTACTGGTACGGACCGGTTCCGACGAACCAAGTGTTAAAGTTACAGCTGGTTTGCCGAACCGGTATTTGAACCGACTGTCTGGCCCCTCCCCTCCCAGGATTTTTGATGGAGGTATAAGTGCAGGGTCCACACAGAGGGGCTGGGAGCGGGAAAAACGGGCCTTCTGGAAAGCTGGAAATGGGCCTGTTTCCGGCTTCCGGTGGGCCTCCAGAGCCCTGGGGAGGCTGTTTTCGCCCTCCCAGAGGCCCGGGGGAGGCCTCTGGATCCTGGGGAGGGTGAAAATGGCCTCCCCCAGGCTCTGGAGGCCCACCGGAAGCTGGAAACAGGAAGTTCTGGTAGGGCCTGCCTACCATGGCCCTGCCCAGCCAGCAACCGAGCAGCGAACCAGTTGCTGGGACTTTTGAATCCCAACCCTGGTTTCCTCGTCTGACCGCCGATATAGCACCAGTCTATCAAGTACTTAGGAGGTGTGGATACAAGCAAACGACAGCTAACAACTTAAAAGCGAGCCATCAACACACTCCAACCAACTTCTAAAAAGCCCCTTGCAGCAGCCACTCTAAATGCCATGTACAGAACAGCACACACTCTGCCAGAGAAATAGTTCCCTGAGTGTTGTGGTTCGCCGGCAGCAGGTGCAGAGAGCTGAGGTCTCGGAGAGCGAGGACTCAGATGAGGGGCCTGCGTGTGATGCAGGGATGGGGCCAGGACCATCAGGGAGTGGAGATTGTGGAGGCTGGCAGCAGCGATGAAGAGGTCCCCGAGGAGCCTGTGCACAGCGCACGTGCATGCAGGGCTGCTCATAGGAAAGAGCAGCTGCAGCAGCAGGGGTGACTCAGGAGTAAGGCTGCAAGGTAGTGGCCCCTCCCTTAAGAGATAAAAGCCAGCTGAGAAACCAGAGTTCTTTGCAGGAAGCAAAGAAGTTTTTGAACTCAAGCCTTGTGGACGTTCGGAGTATCTGGGTTGGTGTGTGGAGACTCTTTGATTTATTGTTTAGGAAGTTTATCTGTTGTTCTTGGCAGACTTGCAAAAACTTGGCAAGGCTCTTCCTTATCAGAGCTAATTAGTTGGAAGCAGCCTTTTA